TTCAGGCAGCAGTCTCTCTTTCAGGCCCAGGCTGACAGGAAGGGCCGGGGGCAGCTGCTGGAAGGAGAGACCCTAGGCCAAGGTCCACACAAACATGAAACGGCTGGGGAGTCCCAGCACCGCGCAGTCCCGACTGCTCATCTCAGATGGACTCTGAGTAGGACACAGCCGCTCTCGTCAGCTCACACACGGCCGCGCCGAGCTGGGGCATGGAGTCAGCACCCAGGCCCCTCTGTGTCCCCCAGGGGCAGCGCCACAGCCGCAACTCTGCCCACGTCTAAGCCTCCTTCCCTGCCGGGGTGGTGAGCAGCAGGTGCCGGGGCAGCACCTCTGTGGCCAGCAGCCTCCCTGCTGCGCGAGACCCCGGAGGTGCCCTTGGCAAGGTGTTTGTGTTTCTGAGGCTGGGGCCGGGGAACACTGCTTGAACGAGGCTGGAGTCGCAGGGATTTGCTCCAGCTCCTGGTCTGCAGCCCCCAGTGCCGTGTGACCACTGCCGCAGGGCGTGTCTCAGTGCCACGGAATTCCTACCGCCATGGTCCAACCCATCAGTTCTTTAAAACATGGAGCCTGCCCCACCTCCCTGTAGCGCCAGGCCCCCTAGATCTAGCGCTCCCCTCCCACCTGCGCCCAGAAACCCTTCTTTCTCTCTTCACGTTGACCACAGGGACATCAGAAGCCAGCTGCCTGCCCCACGCGGGTGGAAACTCCACAGCTCCTCACACGCAGCTGCCACACCAGAATCAGGTCCCTCCCACACACAGTGCAAGGGGGTGCACCCGACTGTCACAAGCCCGTGACAGGTGTGGCACTGCCTCCTGGGACGTGCCCACCAGGCTGTATTCCACACACCCAAGCTCACGACCACACTGGCGCCTCACGCACGGCTGCTGAGCCAGGTCTCCCCAGTGTGGCTCCCACGCTATTGATTTTCTGACCCTCGGGGCCTCTCCATGTGCCCATCACCTTTCATCTCCGGCTTCCTGCAGGGTGTTCCGGCTGCGGAGGGATGTGGAGTATTGATTCTGTCACTCAGCACATCAGCTCTCCCTAATGACTCTGTGTCATCTGCAAATTTGATAAGCAGGCCTCTGATGTCTTTATCAACCCGCCAAGTCTACTGCTCGGCAAGCGGGGGCAGCAGCCCGCCAGGGGCCTCCTCCCATGGCGACGCGGGCCACTCATTCATCCACACGCGAAGCTCCGCACGCGCACTCGAGCCCTTGCAGGTCCGCCTGCCTCCGGGGGCTGCCCAAACCTCTGCCGGGCTGCAACAGCACCTTCCTTCCAGCAGAACCCACGTGAGACCCAGGTGTGAGGGTGCAGGGGCTGCCTGGTCGAAGCCGGGAGGGTACTTCCTCTCTGTGCCTGCCCCACGGCAGCAGCACAGGACCCAGGGTCAGAAACCCCTCCTCCGCTCGCACGCCTGAGGCTGGTGCACAATGCTGAGGCCTGCCCAGCAGGGAGGGGACATGGGAGCCTCAGCCCAAACCCTGCTCCATCCTGCTGGGCAGCGTGTGTGAGCACGTGCGAGAGCGTGGCGCGGCCTGAGTCCCGGAAGAAGCGGTGCTGTCGGGGAACACATTTGTCCCCTGAACTCACGCGTGGGGGCCTCGGCATGAGAGGTGGGCCTCTGGGGAGTGACGAGGCTGGGCAAGGTCATCAGGTGCGGCGTGCTCCCTGGCTCTACCACATGATGCTCTGTACCCCGTGGGCTCTGCCGGCAAGACGCCGGCACCAGACACAGCTGCTCGACTCTGCACCAGCAAACTCCCTTCCTTTATGATGAAGTCCGCACCAGGTACTTCGTTATGGCAACCAAAGATGGGCCAATACCAACAGCAGGCCCTTCCTCGCCTGGGGCCGTCGGGAGACAGAGACGTGTGCCGCACGTGTGGGAAGATGTTCCGGCGCGAGAGGAACAGGCGCTCTGCCACGCCCGCTTAGGCCACCTTCTGCCATGAATGGCTTCCAGTGCCACATCCAGTTACGGGACACAGCCAAGGAGCACCCCCTTCCCTCCAGGGGCACCCCCGCTCCACCAGGACGACTCTGTCTCTGGTCTTGTCACAGCATTTTCTGTGGAACCAGGAAGGAGCCAGGCGGAAGCCCCTGCCCCGGGACAGCACCTGCCCCCGGGAAGAGCAGGCAGCTCTGCTGGACCGTGAGGCCCTCAGGTGAGGCCCCTTTCATCGCAGCTAAAGCTGGGAGGACAGCTCTGCTTTGAACTCTGAGGGATGACGACACAGACATGGAGCCACCGCGCATGTTTTTGGGTTTTGAGACAAACGCCCAGGCTGGAGGAGGCAGCCGTGTCTGCTGCGAGCCCCTCCCTCTTCACTTCCAGTCCCACAGATCTGCTGGGAACTGGGCCCGGCGCCCTCTGTTCAAGACCTGGCACTGCTCCCGCCACCTCCATGGCTGGTCAGTAGAGGGCGCTGTGTCACCACGCTCTTGCAGCCTTGGCCCGAGCATCACACAAAAGCCACACTTGAAGATGTGGTTCTCGTGTCTGTGGTTCTGAGCCGCATGAGAAGACAATATCAAAGTACGAACCTGCTACTATGTGATGTGTGATGTCACCCACGTGAAAAAGTGCACAGGAAGAAAATTGAAGGAAGCAGAACCAAAGGTTGTAGCATTTGCTCCCTGGAAATGGAATTGGTTTTTCACTATTTTCTATGCGCTGTCAATCTCCCACAAGCTTACACTACTCTCCCGATGGAGAAAACCCGAAGCACTCAGGGGTGCAAGGCTGCTCTGCAGAGGCTGGCTGCCAGAGAAGCACCTGTTCACTTGTGCCTGGACGCCGGTGGCCCTGCCCTCAAGGAGCTCACACAGCGACCCCAGCACAGCGTGAAAATCCAAATGGACAAGCAGCACTCGGAGAGCGGAGCCCACAGAGGCCCAGGCCGTGCAGCTTAGACACGTGCAGCTTAGAGCCTAGAGCCACATGTGAGCCCCAGGACCACCTGGAGCAAGGCAGGGAAACACGCACCAGGAGGAGGGGGCTACCAGTTCAGGGAAGACTGGGGCTCAGGGCTCGGAGAGAGAGGACAGGAACCCCCATCAGTGCCCCCTGAGGATCCGGCCGTGCCCGACGGGCTGGGGAGACACCCAGCACCAGAACACGAGCACAGGACGCCACCGGAGACAAGGCTGTCAGGGCCCAGATGCCTCCAGGGATAAAATACCATACTTACTGCTTTTCATTAAGTCTCCAATGGAAAAGTTGAATAATCAGCATTCTACTTTTTCAAAATCAAAGAGACTGGATAGGAAAGCAATGTCCTCCCCCAAAACTCAGAAAACCTGCGGAACCAGAAGGCTCACGCAGGTGTGCTTGCTACCTGCAAACTGCCGCCCGTGGAGGGAGGAGCTCTGGCGGACAGGTGGGTCTTACTCGGAAGCATTAACGCACATTCAATTATCCCACTGCACCCTGGCTGACTTACCTCAGCCAAATTAGAATACATTTTATACTGACTATTTTGACATTTGTTTTATTTGGAAAGTAAAGCAAAACGGATCCAATTTCCTTGCAGCCATTGTAAACCATAAACTGCACAAGAGAGGCTAGAAGATATATGAGCCTTATAAACACCGGCTCTGACGTGCTGCCCTCCAGCCCTGCCAGGCTCCCGCGCTGGCTGTCCTCGTGCGCGGACCCTGCTCAAACAGTGACTTGCGACCTCCTGGGAGACCACCTCTCTGCTCTGTCTAGGATTGGCACCTTCTTCACCCAACGGAAAGTTAAAACCTGCCTCGAGGTGGAGTCTATTCAGACCACGTGACGTCCACAGGAGGTGGCTACAACCACTGCCACTGGACCAGTGCCCCGCGGGCTTCTCCGCCTCTGCCAGGAGCCCACACTCGGGCTGACCTCAGGCCCAGGGGACAGAGGGCCCTGCAATTACTCCACGCACGGTGGATGGGCCTCAGCTGTCCCAGCACAGGAATGCTGACCTTGGCAGCACCTTCCAGGGCAGAGCTGAGTCAGCCTGCCAGCCTCCAGCTCCTGAACCACACACACACGCAGCGGCCAGTGTGCACCCCGGAGGCTGGCCAGCTTTTCAGCCTCTCGATTCCGAAGCAAAACTGACTCCTTCTGAGGCGGCAGGCGAGTCTGGGGTTGTCCCACACCAGTCCTCGTGCGTGACACCGTTGCGAGGCAGACCTGACCGTCCTCTCAGGAGGCGTCCCACAGGACCCAGTCCCTGGAGCCACGGCTCCCTATAGCAGCACGCTTCTGGGTGAGAGGAACAGAGCACCGGGAGCCAGGGCGCCTCCAGGGCAGGCGTCACGCACAGCCCTGCAAGGACCTCCTGTACTATCTCCTACCTTCCTGACAGGTTTCATTCATCTCTGTCACCCACAGGGAAGCTTTGGACCCGCTCTCGTCTCCATTACGTCAGTGCCTGTATGACGCCTTCCGGCCACCCTCACTTGTCTTAGTTACTGCCGCGATCCCTTTCGAACTCAATCCATCCCTGCTGCTTGTTCTTTGCCCTCAATCTACTACTAGCTCTGCAAAGACTTTCGGATTGACCGCTTCTTTCTACCGTGTGTTGGGCGGGCACAGAGAGCTCAGGAACGATGCTGATGCCTGCCAGGCTATGGGTCCACATGCTGTCTGTCCGGGGCAGCGACAGCTGACTTGGCCTGGTTCCCTGTAGCTCAGCGGGACAAGAAACAGCATGAAGATGAGGGTAAGTACTCGCCACGCCCCTGGCTTTCAGAGGCAGAGAGGGAGGGCCAGTGGCTGCACCACGTGGCGGTGTGACTCTCCGGGGCTGCACATCCTGCTGCTGTAGGGGCCTACAGAACGCGCACACAACGGAATGCTGGTCTTCGCGTCCAGCAGAGATCCAGCTGGATTTCAGAGGTCCCCTCTAAAGGCACACGGCTGCTCCATTTCACACAGATTTTGCACCTTTCCAGCACATACTACGTGTGGTGTCCCAGACCACGTGACAGCACAGGCATCACTGGCAAGGCCTTACCTGGGCAGGTTGGGGGCTGGGGTAGAAGCAGCTGACGACTGGGAAGGCGTCGTGGGTTGAGATGAGTCATGGTTTCTTGGGACTCTGCCCATTCGATACCAGATCCCCATGCTGTTCAGTTCCCTTTAGGAGAAAAGAGAAATCATGACACAGCAGGTTAGCACAGCGCGTTGACCTGAGTGACAAGCAAACCAACACAGGGAGCCAGTTCTCACCCAGGTGAAGCCGTCTCACCGCCTGCCTTGTGCTCTGGGCATGTCCATCCAGAGCCTCAGCAGGGCGACGGCACCATCAAGCGGCCTCCTCCCCCACCCTGAGCTTGCCTTCCTACTCCTACGGACATCTCTGAAACTCCTGACTTCACCATTTCATCGTAGGTCATTACATGATAATCCTCACTAAGTCTCTGTGCAGTGAGGGTGAGACAGAGAAATGGACTGACAGATATGGGTCTGCTTCTTTGTTTCTATCTTTATTTTTAAGATTTATTTATTTATTTGAAATGTGGAGTTACAGAGGCAGAGGCAGAGGTAGAGGCACAGAGAATGAGAGAGAGGTCTTCCATCTGCTGGTTCACTCCCCAAAGGGCCGCAATGGCTGGAGCTGGGCTGATCCAAAGCCAGGAGCCAGGAGCTTCTTCCAGGTCTCCCACGTGGGTGCAGGGGCCCAAGGACTCCGGCCATCCTCTGCTGCTTTCTCAGGCCACAGCAGAGAGCTGGATTGGAGTGGAGCAGCTGGTACTGAACTAGCACCCATGTCCGATGCCAGCACTGCAGGCAGCAGCTTTACCCGTTACGCTGCAGCGTTAGCCCCAAGGGACTGCTTCTTAACCAGAGAAGAATTAGCCCTACCCTGCCATACTGTGCCCCAATTTCAGGCTACAGCCCCTCACAGCTGGGGGTCACCTGCAGCTGACCTCATTCGTGGGTCAGTTTGGTGTTCATCTTCAAGCCACAGAATCCAAGGCACAGGCTCTAGGAATCATGGCAACTAAGAGCAGCCCAGGCCTCAGGTGCCACGCCGGCCTTGGCCCACCTGGTCCTGAGGGCTTGTGGCTCGGGCTGGCTGGCTCTTGGCCACTCTAAGAGGATTACTTAGACACATCCAGGTCCCAGCTTGGCCATGGCCCTGATGCACAGGCACAGCTTCTCCCCACAAAACACGAGTTTCTCGGTGTGCTGCAGCAACCACTCCGAACCACACGTTAGTCTGCCACGTGAGACAAGCGACTCCAATCTGCTGCCCGAGATCATGGCTCAGGACGCCAGGCTTTGGGGGCAAGGTTCCGCTCTCCCCAGCAGCAGCCCAAGCCCTCCTTGCAAGGGAACACACTGAACGGTGCCCATTTTAAAGATCCAGTGAGCTGGAGTTCTAAGTACTGAATACTCTTTCCTTATTTAAAAGTAACACTGAATTGTCTCCCTCTGGAAAAGAATTTTTGCCCTGCGGCAAAACAAAACTATATCTTAGCAACCTTCTAAAAATAATAGAGAGAATAATATTTTAGTTTTGATTATCAAGACGTATATTAGCAAGACTATATTCTCTAGAATTGTTTAAATTGGTTAAAATCAGATCTTTTCACATATTATGGTTTGTAGTTAAAAATATACATAAAAGGCCCGGCATCATGGCTCACTTGGCTAATCCTCCACCTGCAGTGCCGGCATCCCATATGAGTGCTGGGTTCTAGTCCCAGTTGCTCCTCTTCCAGTCCAGCTCTCTGCTGTGGCCCGAGAGGGCAGTGGAGGATGGCCCAGGTCCTTGGGCCCTGCACCCGCATGGGAGAACAGGAGGAAGCACGTGGCTCCTGGCTTCAGATCAGTGCAGCACCGGCTGCAGCAGCCATTTGGGGGGTGAGCCAACAGATAGAAGACCTTTCTCTCTGTCTCTCTCTCTCTGTCTATAACTCTACCTGTCAAATAAATAAATAAATAAAATCTTTAAAAAATATACATAAAAACAATTCAAAGGTTCATTACTAAATTGTTGGTTTTTATTATCTGTATGTAAATGGCTGCTTCTAAGGGACTTCAGTTGGCTCTTCTCGGAACCACTGCTGCCCTGCCATTCTGGTAACAGAACCGTAACTGTGACAGAATGTGACTCACACCAGGCTGCAAAACAGGAGCTTTGAGTGCCAGGAGGCGACACCGATCAGCCTCCTTAGGAGCACAGACCCTGCCCCAGGGCGTTCAGTCCCTGAGGCTGAAGAGTGCAGGTGACACTGCCTCCCGGTGAGTCCACAGCAGGGAGCAAGGCCCTGGGAGCAAATGAACAGAGGACAACCCCAGTCCAGGAGGCCGACCTCCAGAACCAAACTGGAGGGTGGGGAACCCACAGAGACGAGCAAGAGGTCCACGAGGTGGCCCGGGAGAGGTGCATGGCCAGGGGCCAACACCCACCCAGCACACACTCAACCCAGGGCCCAGACGCCAGATGACCGAGGGTGTGGGTGTGGTTCGCTTTTTATGAACGCTCAACTTCCACTCACCCATACACCCCTCTGTAGCCCTCCTGAGCCTCTCCCTGTTAGTGCCTGAAGTCCAGCGGAAGCGGCCCCAGGGACCCTGCCTCCACTGAGGCCTCGTCAGTCAGAGAATGACGCTTCCCAGGAAACAGCGACCAGGGTGCACATGAGCCTGGTTAGAGCCATGAGACCAGTGAGACTGGATTTGATGACTTCTGTGTGAAGTATCAGAAATGCAGACTTGCTTTCTGCCCCCGGACTTGAACCTGACATGACTGCACCACTGGCTTCCACTCAGGGAATCCACGTGCTGGGCTGTGGCCTACCCAGTGGACTGAGCACAAGGAGGAAGACAGGGAAGCCAGGTCCTAGAGCTCCTCCGAGCACCTGCGTCCAGCTGCGCCTGAAGCCAGCCCAGCCCCGGAATTCTTCTGCTATGCCAGCCAACAAATTCCTCCTTCTGCTTAGCTGTGCTGGGTTGGGCTTCCTGTCTTACAATCAAAACAGCTCAATGTGAAATCTGAAATTCCATTGTCCTGAGTGCTATGAAGGAGCTACAGAGCAAGGCCGGTGCCCGGTGCCGAGGCCACTCACTGGTGAGTAAGACACAAACAGGCCCCAGTCACAGCAGCTCTCTGCTCACTAGGGCAGACACGCATCAGACCAAAACCTGCACCGCGAATTCCGGGCATTCAAGTGACATACAGTGTTTCCGCCAGGAACCCTCCAGTGGCTTCCCAGTGTGCCTGGATCATAATCCAGGCGGCCACCAGCTCCTATCTCCCCGCCTTGTCTGTTCCCAGCAGGCACCATACTTCCCCTCTCTCACACCCTTCGGGGCAGGATTCCCCTGACACCGAGGTCTCTGCTCAGTGGCCCCCAGGGCAACACAGGGCTGCGTTTTCTTCAGCATCCGACACACCTCACTGCCTGCTTTCTGCATCGCGTGTTTCTCCTTTGCAACACCAGGGACGAGAGCAGCACCTCTGCCTCCATGCACTCCCACACCCAGTGTGACCCCGGTGTACAGACAGTGCCCCACAAACAAACACTTTGGAGTGAAAGGATGGTGCAGAGAGCTGGGGCCCGGCCGGAGCACGAAGGCGGCGTGGGGGCAGGACCCAGAGAAGCCTAAAGCTGAATGCACAGGAGGATGGCGGGACCCAAGGGGGGCAGTCAGGGTAGACCGAGGGGCGCGGGGGTCGGCAGCTACGAGAGCCCAGGCCGAGAACGGGCAGAGGCAGGCGGCCCAGGATTCGCAGGAGCCCGTCCTGTGGGTGAACCGGGCCTTCTGCATGGGCACTGGTGGTGGACTCACCCGATGAACGTGTACTGAGGAGGGGCCTGCTTGGTCCGGCCCATGATCCGAATGTCACAGATGGCGGCTTCCGTCGAGTCCCGGGGGATGAACTTGATGCACAGCCTCTTCTTTCTAAAAGCCACCTCCTCTGAAGGGAAGGACACAGAGAGTCAGTCTCCTGGAGACGCCACACCTCCCGCCACATCCCCCGCCTGGCAGCAGAGGTGGAGGGCCGCCCCATCACTCCACAGAGGTTCAGCCTCCACCCCTGCCTGCACCGTGGCCACAGGGCACAGTGGACAGTCCCTGAGGAGGAGGCACTCCCAGCACCCCTGCCTGCCCCGTGGCTGCAGGGCACAGTGGACAGCCCCTGAGGAGGAGGCACTCCCAGCACCCCTGCCTGCCCCGTGGCCGCAGGGCACAGTGGACAGCCCCTGAGGAGGAGGCACTCCCAGCACCACACCTGCAGGTAACCCCAGGGCAGCTTCCCAAGGCTGCGGCCACACCCAGCTCCCCACTGCAGCCAGACTCCCCAGGCAGCAGCACACCCACCACGGGGCCTCTTTTCTTGTCTACTCTATCACAGAAAACCTCAGATTTGCCCCGGCCTACACTGAACAGCAGGAAGAAGCCCCAGGTTCCCATTGCCCGGCTTGCAGAGCTGGCTTTCTTGCACCACGCCCACCCGGTCCTGCCTCGCTTTGCTGGACATTAAAAATGAATCCTGGAACCACGTCACGTCACTCATCCCCATCTCAGAAGACACCTATGGCAGACAAAATGCACAAATCCCTTACTGCCATCCATAGTCAGTCTAAATGCAAGTCCCATGTTCTCCATGATGTCCCTGTACTGTCAGTCTGTCCCAGTCAAGGTGCAGACAAAGTCTGTGCCCGCGTGTGGCCGATGGGCCTCATGAACAGCCCCTCCCTGCTCCCTTTCTTCAGGACACTGATAGGGTGGGGGCAGGTTCACTCACCGAGCTTCCTACAAATGGACAGAGCCAGAGGCATGGGCGAGCCTGCCTCACAGTTGGCACAGGGTCTTCCTGCAGTCACCTCATGGGGCTGGGGTCCAGCCCGCCACTCCCACTGGGTTGCTGGGGTGTGGGCTGGGGTCCTCAGTCCTTAAGTCCCCCAGCCACTGCCCTCTGAGCATTATTCTCATCACTGGGGACTGTTGTTGCCAAGATCCACGAGTTTTTGTTTTGTTGTTGTTGTTTTTTAGAGATTTACTTATTTATTGAAAGTCACAGTTAGAGAGAGAGAGAGAGACAGAGTTTCCAACCTCCAGTTCACTCCCCCAGATTGCCACAATGGCAGGGCTCGGCCAGGCTGAAGCCAGGAGCCAAGCTTCTTGAGGTCTCCTACATGGGTGCAGGGGCCCAAGCACTTGGGTCATCCTCCACTGCTGTTCTCAGGCCATCAGTGGGGAGCTGGATTGGAAGTGGAGCAGCTGGGACACACACTATTGCCAAATAGGATGCCAGTGTTGTAGGAGGCAACTTTACCCACCATGCCTCAATGGCGGGCCCTAAGATCTACACCTTTTATTAAAGATTTCAAAAGGGTGATTCTCCACTTCTGTCACTCCTGCATTTATTGGCTGGGTTCTTCTACACAGAAAAAGAACTTCTCTCCATCAACCATCTGGTTTCCCTGAAACAGGTTCTGTCCAGGAGAGAAAGAAGTGTGCCGTTTTTTTCTCTAACGTATCAAGTCTTAAACAATGAGCTGGTGCCCTGGCAACCTCCATGTAACCACGAGGTGTGTTTCTTTGTGGTTTCAAAGGTAAGTTTCCATCAACTGCAGCCATTCACTACAAGAGGCAGAGGATCTGGGTTCAAATCCCAATTCCGCTGTTTTCCGGCACCATGACCTCAGACAAGTTACTTAATTTCTGAGCCTCGGTTTCATTACCTGCAGAGAGCAGTTACAACTTCCCACCACAGAGGGCCCCAGCAGGTGCAACGTGGCGGCACGTGTGATTCACTCGGCCCCACGCCTGGCACACAGTAAGTGCTTAATAAACCACAGCCACGAGGGATCTCACCACCGCTACTACGCGTCAGCCCCGTAGTGTGTCATTTACGGCCCTGCCGGGACGGCTTCCAAGCCTTTCTGTTCTCTCTGAGACAGGAAGGCAGTACGCTCAGCAGCACCTTCGGCCTGAGCACAGGAGCGAGGAGAGGGCGGTTCCACAGGAGGAAACAGCCCGGGACTTTCTGGCCACTGTCATTCGGACAGCATTTTCTAGAGAGCGAGATGAAACAGAGCCTCCCTGGGTCTTTTCCCAGGTGCGGGAACTGGGGGCGACAGTGAGGAGCAATGTCCTGACTCCAGACCCCAAACGCCACACCTAACGTGGTGGGGGCCGCAGAGGGCAAGTCCCCAGCAGCCCCGCATGTGCACTCAGGTGGGAAGGTGGGGAGGGCCCTCTTCACGGCGAGCAGCCACGGCGCTCGCTCTCGGCCCCACTCCTCCACAGCGGCAGGCTCGGGGAGGAGACGGAGCCGCTCATTACACATGCTTAAGCAGGCCTAATTTTAAGTAAACATATTATACATAGTCAATAGCAATGTGTTCAGTCATGCTAATGAACACAGAGAAAGTACACAGCACTTCACTAAAACAAACAGTCTTCCAGTTTTTAAGTGCTATATGGATTGCAACAAACTATAATCTAAATTAATTACAGGAGTCTCATCTTTCTGGTCGACTTTATAAAACTAGGGCCTTAAATGCTCTCAGGTGACACAGAGCTGACCATCAGGGTCTCTTGTGCCCTGGACAAAGTGTCCAGGAAATGACGGAATCCAAGAGGCTCCCCCAGCCTCCTCTCCTCCCGTGTGATGAGGCACCTGATAGGAGAGCCCAGGACCCAACCCCAGAAAGTCTGCCTGGGGAAGCCCCCAGTCCCAGGGCGGGGCTTCCCCACCAGGAGCCCGGGGGCCCACTGCAGCCAGACCAGGGGCCCAGAGAGGACTCGGCCTCAACAAACCAAGAGGGAAATGAGGATGGCAATCCCACTGGCTCCCCGCTGTGCCATCATGAAGACATCAGGAGTCAACGACTGTTAGAAATGAACAGCAGTGCAGGTTTTAAAACCATGAATAACACAAGGGCAAAGAGGGGAACTAATACAAGTCTACAAGGGAAGTTCAGCCCTGAAGCAGATAATATATACATGTAGCACGCAAACTCTTGTGAAAACGTTCAGTCTTGCTGATAAATACTGAAGGGAAAATCACATGGCAAAACTGAACAGAACACTGGAAACCTGTGCTGGTAACCTGGGGAAGACAGGCACAATGCCTATCGTCACTGGTATTGGGACCTGGCACTTCCAGCAGTTAACCTGGCAACAGAGTGATAAGGTACATGTCCACAGTAGCACCTGCGAGCAGGACACTGCATGTGGCAGGGAGCTCAGAGGAATTAAACAGGAATCTTGCCCTAAATAAACAAAATGAAACAAAACAAAACAAAACAAAGAGCTGGGTTGCAGAGGCACGAAGAAAACACGTAGGTGGTTACAACACAGGCTAAAAACAACACTATAGGGCCGGCGCCGCAGCTCACTAGGCTAATCCTCCACCTAGCGGTGCCGGCACACTGGATTCTAGTCCCGGTCGGGGCGCTGGATTCTGTCCCGGTTGCTCCTCTTCCAGGCCAGCTCTCTGCTGTGGCCCGGGAGTGCAGTGGAGGATGGCCCAAGTGCTTGGGCCCTGCACCCCATGGGAGACCAGGAGAAGCACCTGGCTCCTGCCATCGGATCAGCGTCGTGCGCCGGCCGCAGCGTGCCAGCCGCGGCGGCCATTGGAGGGTGAACCAACGGCAAAGGAAGACTTTTCTCTCTGTCTCTCTCTCTCAGTGTCCACTCTGCCTGTCAAAAAACAAAACAAAAACCAACCAAACAAACAAACAAAAAAAAACCACTATAAGGTAAATAGTACTTCTCCCATTTGACAGGATGAGCAAACCAAGGCCTAGGGCCCCCACTCCCCACATTCTAAGTGGCTGAGCCAGACTGAATACTTGCAAGTTTGACTCCACAGGCCAAGACCACTGACCACAATTTGTCCTAAAAATTCAGGGGCTGAACTACCTTTGCTCAGCTTCTCACCGCTGTGATGTAGGGGCGGAGACAGAGCTGCTCCCACAGCTGCTGACGACTGCGCGTTCCCTTTCCCAGCGTGTGCTGTGCCAGGGGCACGGCAGAGCAGTGACACAGGCACACAGGGTCCCCGACCGCTGTCTGATTTGTCCTGGCTGATGAGGTGGCAGTGAGGTTCCCTGCCGCAGGCCAGGCTCCCACCAGACCCCACTCCTTGGAAGGGGGAGGTGGCAGTGTCTTATTCATCTTTATCCAAAGCTGGCAGGCCTGGCCCACACGAGGCGCTCATCAATCTTGGCTGCCTGTCAAGGCAGAGAGGCGGGCTCACTTCAAACAGGAGAAGAGGATCAGAGACTGCAGGTGGGAGCACAGACACCCACCCTGGGAAGATGCAGGGAGGACACTCAGAGGAGGGCACAACAGCCACGCACACAGAGTCAGCTGAGACAGCAGCATGCAGAGAGCGCACAGGGCCTGGTGTGGGTGAAGCACAGGGCTCCTGAACAGGGCTGGAGAGGAGGGCGGGGGACACACCTCCGAGGACCTGCCTCTCGGCAGCCCAAGTACTTGGAAACAATTAAATCACTCAAAATTTATAAATACCCCCAAATACCCCAACTGATCTACAGATGCAAACCATTTCTATTAAAATCCAAACCGGCTTTTCTGCAGAAGTTTACGAACTAATTCTAAAATTCACGAGACCTAGAACAGCCAAAACAATCTTGAAAAGGAGCAAAGTTGGAGGAATTACATGTCCTGATGCCAACACTCACTACAAAGCTACAGTAGTCAACGTGTGCGGTGCTGGCATCATGAAGACACACAGAACCCAGAATCCAGAACTAACCTGTTCTCGTGGCCAACTGAGTTGGAACAAGGATGCTGAAACAGTTCAGTGAGGAAAAGAATGGTCTTTTCAACAAATGTGGCTGGGACAACTGGATGGGTTTTCACAAGCCAAAGAATAAGCTTGGGTCCTAGCTCACAGCATGCACAAAAATGAACTCAAAATGGATCAAAGATGTAAATGTGAGAGCTCAAACCACGAAACTCTTGGAAGGAAGCAATGGCATACAACGTGGTGACCTTGAACTAGGGAGTGGTTTCTTGTAAATGACACTCAAACCACAACAAGCAAAAGAAAACTCCCGTGTTTCAAGGGAACCCTCACGGGCAGGCACTTGGCTTGGCAGTTAAGATGTTGCCCGGGTTGCCGGTATCCCCATCGGAGTGCCTGGGTTCGAGTTCTGGCTCTGCCTTCAGTTCCAGCTTCCTACTAACACACACCGCTGGAGGCAGCAGGTGACGGCTCAAGTAACGGAGTCCCTGCCAGCCACGCAGGGAACCTGGCTTGAGTACTAGGCTCCTGGTTCAGCCTGGCCCAAGCCCTGGTTGTTTTGGGAATTTGGGGAGTGAACCAGCAGAAGAATCATCTATGATGTCTCTCTCTCTCTTTCAAATAAAACAATAAAGAAATAAATAAACAGCAAAGAACACCATTAAGAAAGAGGAAAGAAAACTAGAATGGGAAAAAATTTTGGCAAATTGTGTACCTGACAAGGGACTACCACACAAGACACCAATTCACACCGAGATGGCTGCAGTCACTTGGACCGGGGCTGGGCCCTGCGGCACGGCAGTCACGCCGCCACGTAGGGTGCCTGCATCTCACCTCGCAGTGCCTGGCTTTGAGTCCGCCTCTGCCCCTGACCCCGCTCCGTGGTAATGCAGGTGATGGCTCACGTAAGCAGCTCCCTGTCACCCATGCAGGATACTCGGGTGGAGTTTCTGGCTCCTGGCTTCAGCTGGGCCCAGCCCTGGCTGTTGTGGGTGTTTGGGGGAGTGAATCAAAGGATGGAACATCTCTCTCTCTTTCAAACAAATAAAAATGCATAGTTTGAAAGCAGCAGACGATAGCCAGTGTTGGCGAAGCCGTGGAGACGCTGGAGCTCCAGTGCGCCTCTGGTGGAAACGTGAAGTGCTGCGAGCTCCCCTGGAGAACAGGCTGGCGGCTCCTCGAGAAAGCGAGACTGGGCCGGCGCTGTGCTGTAGCTGGTAAAGCCGCCACCTGCAGCGCCGGCATCCCACACGGGCACCAGTTCATGTCCCGGCTGCTCCACTTCCCATCCAGCTCTCTGCTGTGGCCTGGGAAAGCAGCAGAAGATGGCCCACGTGCTTGGGCCCCTGCACCCGTGTGGGAGGCCCGGAAGAAGCTCCTGGCTCCTGGCTTCAGATCAGCCCAGCTCTGGCTGATGTGGCCAGCTGGGGAGTGAACCAGCAGATGGAAGACCTCTGTCTCTCTCTCTGTCTCTCTCTCTATCTCTCTCTCTGCCTCTCCTTCTCTGTGTAACTCTGCCTTTCAAATAAATAAATCTTAAAAAAAAACAGTGAGACACAGAATTATCATATGACCAGCAAGTCCAGGACTAGGCAGATTCCCAAGAGAAATGAAAACATACATGAATGTTCACAGCAGCACTATCTTAATAGGCAAGAAGTGGGAAGATCCCCAATATCTATCAGCTGAATGAATCACCACAATGTGGCAGTCCATGGAATAGAATATATACCATCTGGGGCCGGCGCTGTGGCACAGGGTTAATGCCCTGGCCTGAAGTGCTGGCATCCCATATGGGCTCAAGACCGGTTCAAGACCTGGCTGTACCACTTCCAATCCAGCTCTCTGCTGTGGCCTGGGAAGGCAGTGGAGGATGGCCCAAGTGCTTGGGCCCTGCACCCGCATGGGAGACCAGGAGGAAGCACCTGGCTCCTGGCTTCAGATCGGCGCAAGGCACTGGCCGCAGTGCGCTGGCCACAGCACGCCAGCCGTAGTGGCCATTTAGGGGTGAACCAACGTAAAAGGAAGACCTTTCTCTCTGTCTTTCACTGTCTAACCCTGCCTGTCAAAAAAAAAAAATGGGTTTACTGACTGGTATATTAATTATATTTAATAAAGCTATTATCCACACACACAAAAAAAAACTCTATACACAAATATATAAAACCTTCCAGGGTGGCAATGAGGCTCAGAGAGTGGCTGGGACAGACACTTCAACTTCTAAGTTCGTAAATCCCTAGGTAGTTATGGTGCCTCACTTTTCTCCTGTGTGAAATGGGTGCAGCAATACCTATCTCTGGAGAGCGGTCTTCGGGTAAAGCACTGGTGACAGGGACTGGCGTGACGTGAGCTCCCGGTGAACATCAGCTCCTGTGACTATCTGCCAGTACCCGAAACAATGAACACCTAACAGCAACCCAGCCTCCAGAAGTGAGCGACTACTGAGAAAACAGAAACCTGCCACACGGTAGGAACTACCTTTTTCATTAAAATAACAGCTACACAGGGTCTGTGCAGATACGGAAAGTCTGGCTTGTATGAAATGCTAGCAAGAAAACAGCAAATAGTGGGCTCAAAACAGGGCTTATGGAAGAAGGCAGTGCGGCCAACAAAGACTGGGATGCTGCGTTCACAGACAAACCGTGCCCGAGACAAAGGGTCCTCTGTGCCTGCTCCCACTCGCTGCTTCGCTGTTGGCTAACAAGTAATTAAAAATAAAACAAGTTGGGTTGTGTTGCAGCAAAATGCAGAGGCCAGGCTCCCCTGAGGCATCTCGGCCCGGCTCCCTACCACCACCACTCTCGGAACTGCGGGGCCAGGCCCCAGACTCCAGGGCCCTCACGGCGCCCCAATCTGTCCCACGCACGGGGGTCAGAACTTCCGGCCTAATTTAAACCCTGGCACCTGCTATCACTCACTCTGAGAGACATCATTGCACTTGTACCCTCCGGCACCCTGCACGGCCTTTTTTCCTTCTTGCCTGTGGGTCTCGTGCCAAGCTAGGGTTCGGCAGCACGGGGAGACGACTAAAGACCAACTCTCCTGGGGCCCAGCGTTCATTCAGTTCAGCGCGAGCTGATTCAGCAGGGAGCGCCGGCCTAAGACAAGGGATCCTCTGCTCACTTGCATGCTGCCCCCAGCACACTGCTCACAACACGGAGGACAACTCGGACCATGTCAAAAGCAGTGGGCCTTACCCACAGGCACACAGGGAGGGCTCCTAAAACGTTCCCAAGAGAAACACAACACAGAAGACCGTAGCAACACCCCTAGAAGGAGAGCGCTGTGACGGGTAGCACTGGGGGGGACTCACGTGTGTCCACCGTCTCCTGAATCGGGATGAAGCCCACAGGCAGCGTGTCCTTGATGTCAATGAGCTTCATATCCACTAACACGTTCCCCAGGTGGCTCTGGGGAAGGAAGCAGACACACAGACTATTAATGTGAGCACGCCGGTGGCAGGCTTGCCATCCTGGCTTCGAGATGCATATTTAACACACTGACGCGCGCAGCTCCGCGACAGCAGGTTAATTAGAGGAGGTGACATCTGACGTTCCTCGGCAGTTACACGGGGACTCGAGTGGCTCCCAGGAAGGCGCTTCATCTGCAGACCCTCAAAGCCACTCACTCAGACGTGGCCTTGGCTCGACGGACACGCAACCCCGGAGATGCCGTGGCCACGGCCCAGCAGAGGGCGGCGGCGCACACGGGTCCCTAGACCCAGCTGCCACTCAGCCCTGAGCCTCAGGTGTCAGGAAGGGCAGACTCCTGCGGGGGGAACGTCGGCAGCTGAGCCTCACGGGAGCCAACCCTGAGCGATCGCCCGTCTGCGTCCTGACGCGCGTTTGGGCTGCTAGATGCAGTTTACAAAATCGCAAGAATCACAAAGAAACACAGAGTGGAAGCCTGCTGTCTCAGTGGTGCACATCTTCTAAAATGACGCACACAAGGGCCTCCTAAGAGTCCTAGTTAGGGTGGTAATACAGGGTCCACAGTGCACAGTTCTCCCAACTGGTATAAAAGTATCTCCCGAAGACAGTGCACCTCCTGGAACGGCAAGTCGGAATTCTTTGCAAACACGCCTGCACTTGAGTTGGAAATGAGCTCTAAGGACATCTGCCTCGTAACATGCAGCTGAGGGGCCACCTTGGAGAGGTCACGAAAACCTGCAGAGTACCTTGCAGCCTAGCGGCCGCTCTCTGCTCAGAGCCAGTTAAGGAAAGAATGAGGGGTTCCCGCCCCAAGTCTCTCCTCTTAGGACACGGGCAGTGCACCCGCAGCCCACGTTCCGGACGTGCCGCTCTCGGTGCGCTCGTCTGGTGCCCGCAGACGCTCCTCATCTGCGCAGCGCATCCCTCTGCCCTTGGGCAGCAACCGCTCAGGTGCCCGCTCCTGTCTCGCCAGGGGAAGGGGGTCTCCTCCATCTGGGGGCCTCGGGCGCCGGGGCCCCGACCTCCACCAGCACAGCGTCAGCGTCTTCGGAAGTCAAGCAGGGAATCTACCACGTCAACTGTGCTGCCCTCGGCATTCGTTTTCCTCCGCGTGAATTTGTGATCATGTCTGAGGTGTACTTTACAGTTCGTGGAAAGTGGGATTAAAAGGTATTTATTTTTTTGCAAGAAAATAAGAAATCCATGTATACTTTTTTTAAAAAATATGCATTTTCCAATGACTTTCTGGAGAGTATGTGTGGATTCTGAATGTTTTTGTACCAAAATAAACTCAGGATCCCGTTTCTACAAGCTCTGTGAAGTACCATCGGCAGTGAGGCGGTTACCGTCTGTCTGTCTACTCGCGATCAGGAAGCACAGGACCACAAGCACCTCTGCTCCTTCTGAGTCCACGCCTAGCCAGTTCTCACCACACGGGCGAGTTACTTGTTGAATCAATGAATGCCCTTTGGTAAAGATCTCAAGTGGGTGGGCCACTCAGAGTTAGAGACAAATAGGTTCTGCTTGGGTGGCAAATCTAAACTGCATTGATAAAAATACTACAAGCGTATTTAACAGGTGCATTATGAGCCAAAGGTGCAGAGCTGACATGCAGGTCAAGGAGGTGTGTGGAACGCAGGGCAGCGTCCTCACGGCACTACCGTCAGGGAGCCACCTCTTTGTCTCAGAACTGTCGTCTCCGCCAACAACTGAATGTGGCTGTATTCCAGGTGGCTGGGTCTCAGGCACACGATGCACTGTGCACGCAGCCGGGGGTGGGTGGGGGGTGGGGGGGCCCAGAAGCCTCCCTGACGGGGAGTGAATCCCAGCCCGTGGGAAGGGTCTCAACGGCTAATCCAGCTCGCGGACATCCGTGCCTTTCGGAGCCGCCTGATCTAATCTATCAGAGTGTTTTGCTTTTTTTTCTCATGGCAGTTGCTTTCCATGTCATCACTGCTTTCTGCACTGAGAAATTAACAACTGGGCACGTTTCCCTGCCCCGCGGACGGGCGGGCATTCATCAATATCCTTCTCAGATGTCTCCCACTTGACAAGTTGGGTTTTACAGAAGTCAACTGCAGGCCACTTAGCGACCTCACCCTCCACACTGTCTACAAATGTCCCTGATCATAAAACCAGAACACCAGTGATGCGGCCATTAAAAAAAGCATCAGAAAACCCTCCCGTGCATACAAAGCAGGAGGCTGTACGCGGACGCTCCCCGCAGCCCGAGCGCGGTCCCTCCTCGCACAGGGCTGCCGCTGCACGGGGTTTAACACAGCAGGTCTGCGACACCATTAATTTTGCTTGTTCCTCTCCCCTCCCCCACCCTGCTCGCTTTCATTTCCTCCTCATAAATATGAAGAACGTATTCCCAATCCTTGTTGAGCAAATGATTCATGCCAGAAGCCCAATATGCACTGACTCAGGGTGTTTATATTGTCTCTGGTAGCCAGTATTTGCTGGTATACTGTAATTATTTTTGACAACCTTGCATTTAAGGTAGCCACAGATAACCAACTTAATATTCAAATGTTCATAAATCCTTCTGTTTAATATCCTCCCCACCTAATCTATGTACATTATTATTACAGGTAATGCAGAAAGTACAGGGCATGAAAAGTGCAATTAATCTCGATCCTTCCCCAGGAAGCAATGTCACTCCAAAACCAGGTTTCTGTATTAACAGCATTATTGGGGGAAAGGAATTTAGGTTCCAAAGGAGTCTCCCCAAACTCCTACACTGGGAGTCTCAAGTCACCTAATTAAGACTCTGCCTGGTCTGGAGATCCTACTCCCTCCCTTACGGCTGGAAAGAATTACGCTCTGCAAAGCCGTGGTTTAGACAGTGCGGCTGGGGCAGACCGGCTCCAGCAGAGTGAGACACACCTGATCCCCACGCCTCTCCTGCGCGGCCACGTGGGTCACAGCCACCCCTCGACTTGATCCCTTGCTTCCACAGTTTAGATTCCAGGACAGAACCCACTCACTCTTTTTCTGACAACAAATGCAGCCACTTCTCTCAGTTTTGAAATCGAGGCAGAGGTCTCTCCTCCGCCTTGTCCTCCCCTTCCAGCCTTTGTCACACCCAGTAAACGTGTTTAATGCTCAGTGCTTCTTCAGAATCCTCACCGTGACCCTGAACTAACAGGCCCCAGTGACATCACTCCATCACTTTCGACTCATCGCTGTCCCCAAAGGGGTACGGGGCTCATGGCTGAGTTCCAATGCCCCCACAACCTTTTGGGGGGAAATGCAACAAAAACACAACCCAACAGTGACCGTGGAGATCGGGGCTGTCCTGGGAGGCTGTGGTTTTGCACCAAGCCTCTCAGGAAGGAAAGCTGAAGCTGAGCTGAGGTCAGGAAGGAGTGCAGGAACCAGCGCATGGAGGGCTGGGGACAAGAGCTGCCACATCCTCGGAGCCCAGAGCAGCAGTGAGCACGCTGGCCTGCAGAGCGCAGCCACGCACAGACGGGAGGTGGCAAAAGTCACAGACAGAAAGTCTCAGAAGTACAGGGAAGCTCCAGGGAAAAGAGGGCTGAGGGGGTGCGCTGTGGGGGCGCAGGCAGGAAGCGGGGGCTCCAGGGACAGCCTAAGCTTAGGAGCCTGAGGTCCCGGAAGGCGAGGCCGCCTTCAGACCCGGCCCCGCCATTCCCTCACGGCTCCGCCAGCGCCAGGGGCCTGTGCAGACACCAGACCCACAGGGCCAGCGGCCAGTCTGCTGGGACTGAAAACGCCCTGGGAAGTCTGTTAGGGCTTTCCTGTGCTAAGCGGCTGCCTTCTCCGGCTCCATCACACACAGCACTTCGCACGGCGCGTGTGGTGCTCATGCAATCAGCAGGGGAATGGAAGGAATGACTTCTCCCCAAGTCCTGAATCTGTTAAGGATGATTCTCCTGGCAGTGAGTCACCAACAAACACAACAAACGACAGGAATGGTGGCCAGCACGGCCCAGCTCAGCAAACACCCGGGGACCCCAGCAGGGGGCGTTTCCCATCACGGGAGTTAGCTGCTTCCATTTTGCGTTTTTTAAACAATGGACACCTATTACTGTTCTAATAAATTTTATAAAAACAAGTCAGTACTATATCTTAAAAACAAATATTTGTATTAGAAGGAGACAGTAACATTTAGGCCAAAAATAAAATGTTGCTAAGGAAAATGAAAATCTGACCGCTCCCTCCTGGGGGCGGGGGCGCAGTGAGGCGCTCTGGGCACAGCTCCCTCACAGCAGGCACCCACTGCAGCCATTTCCCTTTCTTCTAAGCCACCCACCAGCCACCTTATCAGAAAAGCCTTATCTGTAAAAGCTCCCTAATTTATAGGCCCAGCTGTTATACTAAGTAAGAGAAATCTGCACGAGGATACCTGCCTACAAAAATAATGAAGCATCTCATGTCACACAGAGACTCAGAACCGAAGTCATTTGGAAACAAGGCCTTGTCTGTGGGTGGGGGTGGGTGGGGGCACCGTTCCGCCGGGCACTTCCCGCATCCACGCTGCCCCGTGATTTGCTGCTGGGAGGGAAGGTAGGCAAATGAGAGCTTCGAGAGACATTTCCTGGTTTCCTTTGGAGAACACATTTTAATAGAATTCACTATACACTTGGGTACGTGGTTAATAATACTGTTAATAAATGAAACACAGCACTGGCTGCTGATTCTGCCCAGTTCCCTAAAACCACAGATAAATTAATATGGCAATGAAAATCAACCTCAGCCCCCAGTATGAGGAATTCCAAACAGGAATGTAAATTACTCGTGCTCACCCAGCGAACGGAAACCACTGCTAGACTTACGTTTTCTTTGGAAAACGATCTCGTGAAACACAGGTATCTGGTGACCTTGGACTTAAATAAGCCGTCTTTCCAGAGGTCAGCGTCCACGCCATCTGCCGTCTGTGCGACCTGCGCAGAGGAGACAGAGAACACTGCACGTGAGGGGCGGAAGTGTAGGCGGACGTGGGCCGCTTCCTCCAGACCCGCGCCAATTAACACCGGCCCAGCTCTCACGGCGTCTCATTAGTCCATTTCACCAGGCACAGGGAAGAGAATTTCCAAAAGGAAAAAGGGAGAGTGTGAAAAATACAACTTCTAAAAATACTGTCCCTGGGGAAGCCGTTGATTAAAGACACCCTGACAAAAATGGTTCTAATGAGAACAGAGCAACTTCGTTGTAATGGACCAAGGAGGGACTGGGTACGGCACACATTAAGATGCTCATTACCACTCACTCGGGGGATGGCGCAGGTGAGGGGAGATGTCCAAGGGCTGTGAAATGCCACCGGAGGGGGCGCTACCTCCTGCCCCTGGGCCAGCCGGGGACTTCAGTGAGCAGGGCTCTGCTGGGACTGGAGGGTGTTTGGGGAAATTCACCGCGCCCCGTGCCTTCCTGCTGCAGCCTGAGAGAGGTGCTCATCGTGCCGGGGAGATGCGAAGCGCCTGGTCCCTTGTTTGGGCTCTCACTACTCAGCTGCACAAATTCTCTGGAAATGCTCAAGGATGAAGCCAGCCATAATTTTTAAAATTTAATTTATGTATTTGAGAGGCAGAGAAGAGAGAGACGGGAGTGTCCACCTGATGGTTCACTCCCCAACTGCCTGCTCCGGCCCCTGCTCCAAGCTGGGAGCCAGGAACTCAATCTAAGTCTCCCATGTGGGTGGCTGGGACCGAATCTGAGCTGTCAGCACTGCCTCCCCGGGCCTGCATCAGCAGGGAGCTGAAGGCACCCAGACACTGCTGTGGGACAAGGGTGCCTTAATCACCAGGCTAAATGCCCAGCCCAAGCCAGGCCTGACTGAGTCTTGAAGGACCCTTGCGCTGGAGCTGGGTGGGATTCTGGCACAGCAGAGGAAACAGGAGCTGGAGGAGGATGTCTCTCCTCCCTGGGCAGCCCAGCAGGACAGAATCCCAGCACTGCGCCAGGTCTGGGGGTAGGGGGTAGGGGGTGACACTGGATGAGGGGGACCAGATGACCCAGGGAGCAGCCTCCTGTTCAGGGTAAACTCAGCATGGGTCTCAGGCAGCCTGCATCCTGAATTCTCGGCCACCCTTTCGAGACTTAAGCTTTGGGCTGGTCTGACAAAGTGCTGAAAGGGCCTAGGCTCCTCACACAAAAACTGCCTTGATCCAGTCCCACCCAGTCCCAGCCTGTCAACAGCCTGACTGTCACAGCAGTGCGTGGGGGCTGGGGCGCCTTCTCAGGACATTCCAGAGCCCCCCACATCCTGGCTCTCAGAGGCAGCCTCAGACAAACCCAAAAGCCAGCTGGCAAAGGAAAAGTGCTAGCTTCTCAAACTGAACAATTGTAAATTAGCAGAGAGAAGCACAGAAAAAGAAAGGTCCGTATGCTGAATGTGCAAATCGCCCTGACCTGCAGGCCCGAGGAGAGGTGCGGGGGCGGCTGCAGGAACAGTGTGCTCCCCCACAGGGAGAACCACGGAGAACCCATCAGGGCGCCACAGCCCGATTCTCCCCACAAGGCTCACACACCCGCCCCTGGGAAAACGGAGCTTCAGGTGGGCCCCTCTTGATTGCTTTCTCCCATGAAGGCCCTGTTCTGAGAGATTTTTGTCTCCCAAACTGCACTCTTCACTGTGTCCTCAACCGTAGGACACGGTCATTTGGGGAACTAGCCACGGATTTAAGGAACACCCCTTCACACACACAAAAGAATGTCACTATCAAAATGTTTATATCTGTTTTTAAGGTGCACCCCAATTTCAGAATCATTAAATAAAAATAAAAGGTGATATAAAAATCAGGGAACAAGGGAAGCTCTATGGTCTCTATAATAAATGCCTATTTGTGATTGACACTTGAACATAAAGGCTACAGGCTGGCCATCCAGACAAACAGCTGGCTTTAACCTTTCACTGGACCAGGGCGCTCCCCAAAGGGGCGTGCATGGAGCCTGGAGCTGCTGCTAGGGCCTGGGGTAAGGTCTGACCCAAGGCTGCCGTGTCCAGGGTCTGAAAATGACACTACCCTCACTACATGAATGAAATTCAGCAGCAAACATGAACTTGAAACCCAACAGCCTGCTCAAGTCCCAGGATTCCCCTCTGCCTCCCTACCCCCACCCCAACCCCACCCTCACCCTACTGACCTGCTCACTGCCAGGACAGAGGAGACGTTGCACGTGCCAGGCTGTGGTGGTGTGAACACTCCTAGCAAGCACTCACCAAACTTGGAGGCCTTTGGTCTGACATCAAGAAACGCATTTAAAATTATGTCAGGGCCAGCGCTGTGGTGCACAAGCTAAAGCCACAACCTGTAATGCCCACACCCCATATGGGCGCTGGTTCATGTCCCGGCTGGTCCATTTCTGATCCAGCTCCCTGACAGTGTGCCTGGGAAAAGCACCAGAAGATGGCCCAGGTGCTTGGTGCTTGGGTCCCTCGCTACCCGTGTGGGAGACCTGGAAGCTCCAGCCTGCTGGCTCGGGCCTGGCTCAGCCCTGGCTGTTGCAACCATCTGAGGACATGAACCAGTGAATGGAAGATTCTCTTTCTCTCCCTCTCTCTGTAATTCCGACTTTCAAATAAATAAATAAATCTTAATAAAATAAAATAAAATGTCATACTACGACAGGCTCCAAAAGGTCCTACATTGTCCCATGGGGCTCAGTTCCAACCTTAGGTTCCCAGGGATCTTTTCTCCTTTTCTGGGACTAAATCAGGTCTTTCAAATACAAGTCAGAGAAGGCTGGCTCTCTGTATCCTCACGTTTCACATCTGGGACACAACCATTTCAGGCTGAACACAGGACAGTTAAGACACCACTTGGGACATCTGCATCCCATACTGGAGTGCCTGGGATCAGGTCTTGTCTCTGCTGTGATCCAGCCTCCTGCTAGAGTTTACCCTGAGGCAGCAGGTGGCAGGGCTCAGGTAGTGGGTACCTTCCACCCTGTGGGAGATCCAGATGGAGTTTCTGGCTCCTGGCTTCAGGCTGGCCCAGCCCTGGGCTATTATGGGCATTCCAGGAACGAAGCAGCAGATGGGAGCTCTCTGTCTCTGCTTGTTTGTCTGTTTCTTTATGTGTGTGACATTTTAAAAAGAAAATAATCCAGGGGCTAGTAGTGTGACTGGTCATGTTGGGATACCAAATGCCAGCTGCTTCCCTTCCAATCCAGCTCTTTGCTAATGGCCTGGGAAAGCAGTGGATGACTGCCCAAGTACTTGGGCCCCTACCACCCACATGGAAGACTGGGACAGAGTTTCTGTCTCCTGGCTTTGTCCTAGCCCAGCCCTGGCTATTGAGGCCATTTGGGGAGTGAACCAGTGGATAGAAGATGCTCTCTCTGTCCCTCCTTCTAATTCTGCCTTTCAAATAAAGTCTTTAAAAAAAAAAGAAAATATTCAAAACAAGCAAAAAACTGCATTAGCACTGAACATATACAAGCCTTTTTTGGTCATTATTCCTAGACAATAGAGTATACAACCATGCACACAGCGTTGACACTGTATTGGTTTTACAGGCCATCCAGAGCTGATTCCAAGCATAGGGGCCGGCGTTCAGCCTAGTGGTTAGATACCTGCATTCCACTTCAGAATGCCTAGGTTCAACACCCAATTCCGGCTAAAGCCGGTTTCCTGCGGAGGCAGACCCTGGTTGGCTCAGAGATGGCTTAAGTTATTGAGCTCCTGCCATCCACACCGCAGGCATGGGTTAAGTTCCAAGCCCCTGCTCCTGTTCAGCCTCCCAGTCTCCTAATCAGCCATTGTGGGCATTCGAGAGATGAACGAGTGGATGGGAGCTCATTTTGTTTTCATCTCTGTCCCTTTATCTCTTTCTGCTTCTCAAATTTTTATAAAAATATATTTTCAAAAAATATACAAATACTACACTATTTTTATAGGGATTTTGCACACCTGTGGATTTTGGCAGCCACGGGGCAGGGGGTGTTCCTGGAACAAATCCAACATGGAGGGGATGGCACTTGTGTGGCTCATGCTTCCCTCCCCTGCTCTCCTCCTGGGCCATCCTGTACCCACAGCACAGCCTGTGACACAGTTGGGTGAGATCGCGATGGAAGCAATGAGTGAATCAACCACTCGATCAGAGCAAAGAGAAAAGCCACCTGCCCTGCTGGCAACCCAGGAGCGCAGAATATCAGCAGGAGATTCTGGGACTGAATGTGCTAGGCTGAGTGTGTCTCCCTCAAAGTTCCACTCTGTGAAGCTCAGACCCATTTCCCCACTGAGTCACTGTCCTCTGGTTATCACTTGCTCCCTTCCTCGCTCCCAAACCATTCACCGTGTCCTGTACCACTGCTGCTGGCTGCAGTACCCCGGACTCTGTCTCGGGGCCTCACACACACGGCACATGAACAGACTCCCCACCACACGTGGCCAGTGGCACATGGAACCCACGGTTTCTCTCTTCCTTGCCAATATTCTTTTAAAATGACAATCAAGTGGAGAGAGAAGGGACCTGCTCCAATGTAGAGCCAGAGAGGAGTACGGCTCAGGAGATGCCGACCAGCACTTGACTGAGGAACGTGGGAGGCAGGGGCTTGGCAGAGTGGAGGGGGCTGCAGCCTGAGGGCCTGTGGAGGCCAAGGCCGGTCAGGTGGGGTGGGGTGGGGCTGCAGCCGGCAGCGGGGAACGAGGTCCACAAGCGGAGCAATTAGGTCCCCCATCCCCACTCCCACCCCCACCCCCGGTGTGTTTCAGGCAAGACTCCTGATCCCAGAACCCCAGCCCCGCAGGGAAGGAAACAGGAAAGAGGTACAATCGCAGGGTGAAAATGGCGTGGCTACCTTTGCACCCTGAATGACAGACTCTCCCAGGAACGAGGGTGCAGATGTCTGCCCTCAATGCTGGATGAGGGACGAGCTGTCTCTGGAGAAACTGCAGAAGGCCAGGGTGGCCCAGCACCAGAGCCACCGAGGCCAACACTCA